GGTGGAATGGGAGCCTGGGGTGGGTTTTCCTCTTAGTGGGCAGGTTGATTAATGTCCTTGAGATGCACTTTCCTCATCTACACACCAAGGCAGCAATTTCTATATAATGGTGCTAATGGGAAGATTAAATGAGATATATGTGTAAGGAGTTTAGCATAATGTCCAGCATAGAGTGAATACTCAAAAGGTTTTGGATAGCTTCCCTTCCCTCAGCAGTGCCAGCTGCTGGGGGTAATACACTCTGCTCAGTGGACCATGAGGTCCTTGTGGGCAATGTTGCCTCTTCAGAGATGAAGACAGAGTAGCTGGGCATGAACTGAAAGCACCAGGCTCCACCCTGGCCCCATCTGCATCCCTGGGGAGGTCCAGGCTTCCGTTCTTTGTGTAATTACAACCTCTGGGGTGCTGGCCCTTTTCATCCTCTGCTCTCTGAAGATCAGCATCACCCAGGTCAACACACTCCTGGCTTAGAGGGCTTGCAGGAGCCATTTGCTTCCAGGACTGGAAAGAGGACATAATTCCAGCATCTGGGGGAAATGGGTCAGGCTATTTCAGGAACCTCGGGTGGCCCAAGTCCCCACAGGCCTCCAGAGAGCACTTGACTGGCCTCCCAGGCTCAGGAGGTCTGGTGGGCTCAGGTCTCCACACACTGGGGTCTCTGTCCTTGAAGACTCAATGGTTTCGGGGGTGTGTGGGGGCTGACTTCTGAGGCCCTGGGCTTGCACAGGGACCTCAAGGCTCAGGGGAAGCATCTGGAAATGCTCCTGGGACACGAGTTGTTGGGGAGGGGAAGAAGAGCAGGGAGGATACTGACTGCAGGTAGTGATGGTGGTTTTGCCAAAAGGACCATTTCTGGGGATTGACTGTAAGAGCAGGGGAGACTGTGCCAGGTCCTATTGGTCTGGTGAAGCAACAGGGTGAGTTTCTGAGATACTGGAACTTTGGTGGATTTGGAGATCTACCTCTCTTTCAGTTCAAGAGAAGCAATGAGGACAGAGATGGTGGTTTATAGCAGGGTTTCTCAAACTTAATATACATGCAAATGCCCTGGAGCTCTTGTTGAATGCGGTGGGGCCAAGATTCTGCATTTCTAACAGGCTCCCAGGTGATGCTGATGGGGACCCCACTTTGAGCATCAAAGGCTTAGAAGACCCAGTTGGGCCATGTTTCTGTGTTCCAAGAGAGATTAAGTACAAGTGTACTGATGTCAAGACTATCTGAGGGCTTTCAGGGAAGAGAGCAGGTACCTGAGGTCAAGAAAGAAAACACTTCTGAGCACTAGGGAGATTGGAAGATGCAAATTCCTAAAACCAACGAATGTTAGGAGAGCCTTGCTTCATCACTGAGCCCAGGCCTCCAAGGAGTGGAGAGTATTAGCATTGGAGGGGACCTAACCTATCCTGCAGTTCAGTCTGCATGACATAGACAAAGAGAGCAGAATGAGCTGTCCACAGTTACACAGCTCGTCAGTGGTTAGACATTAAAGGACCTTGTATGTGGGCTCAGTGGTTTGCAATTCCTCTAGTTGGCGATGTAGAACCATGAAAACATTTAAACAAAGGAGTGGCACGAATAGGACTATATTTCAGAACAGTTCTCTGGTGGAGGTTGAGAGGACCACATGTGATTAGGAATTAAGAAGACTAGTTAGAGGCTTCTGTGCTAGGACAAGCAAGAGATGACGAGGGCTTGAGCAGGTGGACAGTTGAGCATGAGGGGACAGTCCACAGAGGTGTCCATCCTAAAATCAGATTTGTCAGTGCACTTAGGTTTCCGGAAATTGACCCTGAGCTCCTAGCATTTGTGTGCTGCGTCTCTAATGCTGTTGGCTCATCTACAAAGTGACAAATATTCCTGCACATTTGTCCCTGAGGACTTGAATTAAATGTCACCACCTCAGAGAGACTTTCCCTGACCACCTGTGTTGTCTCCACCTGTAGAGGGTTAGAAATCTTGATTCTCATTTGCTTTTAAAATAGGGTTTTTAGGTAAATGCATATATAGGGCAAAAGCCCTTGGGTAGGAGGCCATAGCCTACAGCCGGAGGGCAACAGCCCATCTAATCAACTCTAATCACTGCATAGGTATGGGATTGTATACTTTAATGATCTTAGAGCTAACAGGTCATTGTCATACCAATCCTGTTAAGAGATTTTAAGAATTGCTGAAGGGAAAGATGTGAAAAAAATGTTTTCTAGGGGCAAGCTGTCTGTTGGTGGAAACTTTAGAGATAATTATACTTAGATTTTATCATAAGAATGCAACTTTTGCTTATATCATTTAAGGAGAGGTTATACTTTAGATAATGAGGGCAGTTTGACCAATTTAGCTTTTCACTAATTGTACTTTGGAATGTCACATTGTTAATTTTACTGATGTTACTAGTTTCCATTGTTTAAGCTATACTTAGCCATAGATAACTTTTGTAACACTGCCCATGTCTTTGTGTCCTTTGTAATAATTGAATCAACTGATTTTTCTGTGAAAATTCCTTAACAATAAAAAACGGAAGCTAACTTTGAATCAGGGCTGTACTCAGTTTTCTCCTTCTAACAGAGGAGTTGCAGAGGTGCAGTCCCTTCAGGCTTCTCATTGCATTCATGATGCTTTGAGTAATCCTTTTTTCGTCTCTGTTACACAGTGAGAAGTGTAACACCCTCCCCACAGTGATTATCACTGTACATGGCCATTTTCCTTCATAGCAACTGCCATGCTGGGTAAATTTACCTTTCTGCAATAACTCCTCCCTAGTCATTAAGCACTTTAAAGTCAGGGACTATATTTTGTTCCCACTCCGTATCAAGCACAGTGAGAGTCACACAGGACACACCAGTGAAATACAGTCATTCTTCAGTATCTGAGGAGGCTTGGTTCCAGGACCCCCCCTGGATAGCAAAATCCACAGATGCTGAAGTCCCTGATATAAAATGACGTAGTATTTGCATATAACTTATGCACATCCTCCCTTATACTTTAAATCATCTCTAGGTTACTTATAATACCTAATGCAATGTAAATGCTACATAAGTGGTTGTTATACTGTATTGTTTAGGGGGTAATGACAAGGAAAAAAGTCTGTCAATGTTCAGTGCAGCTGCAACCGTCCGTTTTTTTCCCAGAATATTTTCTATCCACAGTTGGTTGAATCCACAGAGATGGAACCTGCTGATATAGAGAACCAGCTGTAGTTGTTGAATGAATCAAAGAATGTGTGGAAAAAAGCACTTGGAAAATTTTTTTTTTTTTTTGGTGGCTGGCTGGTACTGGAATCCGTACCCACAACCTTGGTGTTAAACATTGTGCTCTAACCAACTGAACTAGCCAGCCAGCCCCACCTGGATATGTTTATCCTAGAGAAGAAACCCAAATGACCTAGTTTCTTAATTCTATCCTTTGACATTGCACAGAACAACTCTATGTCTATTTTCTTTAATACTTAAAGACTTGTGCTATGTGGCCAACAGGATAGACGTAGAAACCACAAGGAAATGGACTGTATCTATATCCAGTCAGTGCTGTCACTGGACCAGGCAGGCTTGGGAAACCACCACAGGAGGTGTCCAAGCAGAAACTGGGCTTCCTTTGTGCGGGTACATGGTGGTGGGGCAGGGTTTAAGCCCTGGATTGGGATGTTAGACTACAAGACCACTGGGCTTCCTTTTAAACCTGAGACTCCACGAGTCTGTAATTTTCCCATCAAACCTATTTAGCTACATAACAGATTTAATCTTCTTTCTTTTCTTTCTTAGAACCTGGGAAGAAGAATGTGTTTGTTCTCATTTGTTAAATAAGCAGCTTTCCTGACTTATTGATTAGGTAAGTCTTTTTTAGTTCCAAACCAAACAGGAGTCCCCTGATCAACTATCTAAACTCGCTGACTGATTCACAGGCTGAGGTCAGTAAATACTCTGTAACTTAATGAGTTATGGAAAGTGGTCCAGTGGGTCTGGGAGCAGACTTGGGTATGTTGATTAACATTTCTTAGTGTGATAAGATTCTGTCGGTGCCCAAGAGGGACTCAATTATCTGATTTATGACTATCTTTATCAGTGGCAGAAAAAGGAAAATAAAATAGTAATCATCATTTAAGATTATGATTTGGTTTTAGCTGTCTCTCTATAGAGGAAGGATCATCAACAATGTCTGTGGCCCTGTGGTTTTCATTGAGGGCTGTGTAGATCAGCCCATGTTTGGGAAATCTTTATACTTAATACAGTAGAGAGAGATTTTTGACCTATCCTCACACAGTAGCTGCTCCAGAAAAGGCAAGTGTGCTGGATATTTTACTTTGTTAACCACTGCCATAAACACCACCCATCTCCCTCTCCCTGCCAAAGTTGGTCCTAGTTGGAGTGAGGTTGCAGGCTAAACTCAGAGAGGATTGAGTAACCATGTGCCATCAGTAATTTATTGCCCCCACCCCTTCAACAACCCTCAACTATCGATTTAAACAACTTTTTTTTTTTATTGAGGAAGGCTTCCCTTTTCCACTTCCTCCGCATCCTCCCACCTTAGATTAGGAAATGCTGCTATGCATGTCTGTAAAGCCTTGTGCTTCCCTTGCTGTACTGACTTGTAATTACTTTTTACATCATAAATCTTCCCTTCTAGCCTATACATTCTGTGAGTGTGGGGACTATATCTCACTTGTTTAGCGCTGTATTTCTACCTAAGACCTTGTATGTGCCTGGCTCATGGAAGCTCTTTAATAAATGTTGGATAAGTTGATGGATAGACAGATGGATGGATAGATGGGTGACTACTACACCCTCACTATAGTCATAAGCCTAATAGATTTGGTCATTCTTGAAATTAGGATAGGCACCTTTCATTTTCAAATGAATAGAACATATATCTCTTTCNCATTCTTGAAATTAGGATAGGCACCTTTCATTTTCAAATGAATAGAACATATATCTCTTTCTATGAACATGAAGGTGAATGAAAATATGAACATTAAATTAGTCGAGTAAGTTAAAGTATCTGAGAAATACTCTTACCTAAAGCATAGTCCCTTCGAGGAACGCTTGGAGGTGCTCTGACTTTTAGCCTATAAATAATAACCATTAGACAAATGGTCAGTGGGTAGAACAACTGTTGTAAAGGCCCGTAATATAAGCTGATATAGAGATAACACACAGACAACTAATAGAATAATGGCTCCTTTTGGACCCATCACATGGCGAGATTTACTGTGTTATAAATGTAGTGAAGACATCAGTCAGAGGTTCCCAACCTCTCCCCATCTCCCCAGTGCATGATGCAGCTATGACTTGGCAAAGACAAGTCAGGTGTTGAAGGGCTCCAAGAGGTCAGCATACTGGTGAGCACAGCGTTCAGAGGTTCAAGGAAGATAAGTGCTGATTGACTGATAGGAAGGTGAGAGAAGATGAACTACACTTTAATGATTTACAAATGCTTTAAGTAACAGGAAAAAGATCAGCACTTTGGTCGCAGGTTGGGCAGAAATGACTTTTGTACCATTTTACAAAATGTCAAATAAGTGAGCAGTGAGTGTCTCAAGACTGAGGAATGTGACATTGAGTTTATTTAGAAGTCAAATTGTTTCAGGTGCTCTCAAAAAGACTTTAATATCTTTATGCACATATAAAATGTGCTGAATATTTACAGTCTTTCTCCAATCATTAAAATAGGAAAATCAAAATTACATTTTAAAAACGTATCCCAAATTTTATGCTTTTTCTGACAACACCTCCCCTTCCATTATTTGAAATGTGTAAGATTTACAGTAAATTGTTTTTTTAATAATAATGATCCAATTTTATTTCAGAATGATTTACATAATGAAATTTAAAATATGTTAAACAAAACATATCCATTAGCCTTTATTTACTAAGATATCATTGTAAAGATTTATTTATTAAGATTTATTTATTTATTTAGTAAGATATCATAGAAGCCATGTATGGGGTAACCATTATAACCATTATACTTATTTCATTTCTTAAAAAAAAAAAAAGGCAGCACAGAAATTTGTCTGATTAAAACACCCGTGCAAGAACTTAACAACCATAATCGTAATTCCGTAAAAATAATAATATTTATACTTGCATAGAAATTCTGTGTTTTTTTTCCTATAAGCTGTTCTATCTATTGTTTCATTCAGTTCTCATCACAAGCCAGCAG